GCTTAATTGTCTCATATTAAAAATTTTTAAATCAATGTTTTACTTATATTTTCTAAAAATTTAGTCTTCTTTTGAATCAAAACCTTTAGCTGAATAAAATTTGGTATCTAATCTGGTAACTGGGCAATTTAAGGCTTAAGAGCCGCTGTAAAGTCTTAAATTCGGCCGAAATCAGCTTATTTGGTCTCAAAGGTCCTTCCAAGGAAGGGATTCTATTTACAGTTCTATTTACAGTGAAATTCTTATAAAATAAATCCACGCAACCTTCGTGATTGTTATTTCATATACCATTGGCCAAAAAATGTCCATCAAGTTGGCCAAAAGCAGGCTGCCTCCAATAAATATTTACTTTAAGACACACACACAGAGACATTCGCACACTCACAATAAGGCTGACCAGAGCAGAGGAAGCCAGAGCGAAGACACAATTACATGAAATTATGTTTGCACAACAGGGTTGGGTCGCTGTCGGTGTGCGGCGTGGCCCAAGTTGTGGCTCTGTATCCAATTCCATTAAAATCAATTTGTCTATTTATTTTGCCGATAATCTGGTGGAGCGTTTGGCTGTAAAATTTCGCACCGCAAATGGCCCCAGCGCTGGGAATTGTGCAGGACCGAACGTGAAGGTGGCTCTGCACCTCAATAGCCTCTAATATGTCAACATCAGGCGAATGGCAGGACAAGTCCATACAGGACAGCGCACCACAGGCAGACAGCCCGGCACAGAGCAGGACAGCTAAAACGTTATAATTTGACCAATGTTTCGCCTGCCCCGGCCAACCCACCAGCCGCAATGTCGATTTATTACGGCCGGAATGTTTTGCGTTGAAGTTGAAGTCCAACGTGTGTCATGTCCTTGCCTTGCCGTCAATCAGCAGACAGCATTTGGGGCACGGCGTAGAGGATATGATCAGATGCAAATTGCCTTGGTCTGCCTCAATGATGTATGTAAATATATTAATATAACTACAAACTTACCTTAAGAGTTACGGAGCTGCAGATAAAGCGACTTTAGCACTGAAAGAGAACAATGAGAAATTGTTTATTAAGAGAGGAAACTGTGTGAGATGCAAAGCATTTTGTGAGCTGAGCTTGGGAAAGGGCCACCTGAAGAGCTCAATGGAATTTCTGAGAATGACGTCGAAGCGCCTTTGATGTAGAGCAAAGCAGCGATAGGCAAACTTGATCTGTCTAGCGGATACAGAGAGAGATAGATAGAGAGAGTGAGAGTGAGAGAGAGAGAGAGAGAGAGAGAGAGAGAGAGAGAGAGTTATGTAGACAGTGTTTAATGACACAGCCCAGCTCGATTTAGTCAACAGTCTAGACTTTTTTGAGGGGTTTTGATAAAGTGAATTCCTTTTTGATTTTCCTTACATTCCAGCTAGATATATTTAATCGAAATCTGATATCAGAAGAGTCGAATTATTTATACAGTAAAAAAAAATTCGTTCTCGATAATTCTCGATATTTTAAATTTCTGTGTAAGCCGAAAAAAAAACTGATCCTTTTGCCATTTCGAATTACTGGGACTCGACTGTATATAGT